GTGATACGAGAGAGTAGTTTAATGTATTTTTAACCGAATGGAGTGCGTGGTAAGGAAAATAATTGGTTCTTTTAATCAAGTATAATTGATTCATCCATAACTGGAAGGTATACTTAACTGATTCATACTTGACCTAGTAGGGTACTCAAAAGGGAATAATTTAGTTGATTCATCCTTGATCGAGTAGGGTACTCAGGAGGGAATAATTTGAATGGTTCATCATTGACCAAGTGGGGTACTTAGGAGGGAATAATTTGATTGATTCATCCTTAAATAAGGTGTATAGATCAATTTCCCTTCGTGTTCTGAACCAAATAAGGTGTACATATCGATATAGCCATGAGTTTCCATTCGTTTCCCAGAGAAACCGACAAGTGGTTAATAATACTCCTTTAATTTTTCTTCTGGTATCCCAAGTTGCTTGAAAGTATTCCAATATAGGATGTCAGTCGAGCTCCCTTGATCAATTAGAGTCTTCCGGATAGTGCAATTAAGAATGTCAACACTTATGATCATGGGGTCATCCTGAACCAGATCCACTCCTTAGAAATCTTTGTCAGTAAATGTAATGGGGGATTCGGAATCCACTTCCCAATGGTATGTGATTGACCGAGCGAACATGTTTCAAATGTCTTTTTCTAGCCGAATTAGTAGATTTTTCACCAACAAATCCACCTGCAATAGTGTTAATAACTCGGCGAGGATACTTCTCATGTTCATTGCGATGCCTGATAGGGGGTTCTCTTGACCTGCTACGTTGTCGTTCCATTCTTTTATCACTGTATCTTCTTGATGACTAAGGGTGGTAGTCTCGGTTTCTTTCAATGTGACCAAAGGAGTTTGTTTGTACGAAACCTTGTAAGTGCCTTGCTTTAATAAAGTCCTCAATGCGATCCTTTAGGGCTGTACACTTGTCAGTGGTATGTCCTCTATTCCTGTGGTATCAGCATGATTTTGACTTATCTACCCGAGGGGGTATTCGCGCACCTAGGAATAGTTAGTATCTCAATTGCTAATGCCTGCTTGAGTACTCTAGACCAGTTAGTGTTTAAAGTAGTATAAGTTCTATAATTTGGTCCTCTTGGTGGTTGCTCAACCTCTCCTCTTCGTTCCTTGTTTTCTTGCCTACCTATAAAATATTCTCTCCTGTCACCTTCTCTTTGGTTGGACCCCTGCTCCATCTGAACTTGGCTTCGATACTCGGCCAATTTTTCTATCTGCATATACTTCACTACTTGACTTCTTAATTCGTCTAGATCAACAAGTGATTTTTTACATATGCTGTTGACAAAATATTCTGGTTTCAAGGCTGTTGTGAGACGGTGCATCACGATTCCCGATTCTAAATTGTGCATTGAGAGGGCCAATCTGTCGAAACGTTCCATGAAAGCTCTAAGTGTCTCTTTCTTTTCCCGATGAATGTTACCAACGCCAAAGTCGTCAAAGGCTGAGAACAACTTGTAGCAAACTACAAATTGAAATGTGTGTGGAGTCTTTCAAATAAATCGATTGACGAGGGAGGTAACCTAGTAAACCAGTTAAGAGCGGGTCCTTGGAGTGATTTGAGAAATATTTGACATAGTAAAGCATCGTTGTTTGTGTACAGGCAAACCTGAGTTGTAAAAATATCTAAATGCTCCTCAGGGTCAAAGGTTTCGTCATATTTTTCCAACGTTAGGCCCCTCTAATTATCTGGTAGCTTAGCTTCCAAAATATATTGAATGAAGGGGCTTCGACTTGAAGAACCATCTCGCTTTACCGGGGTCCTTGTTTGTTGATATGTGTTCTCACTTCTCGCTCTACTGGAGTTCAGCTTTTCCTGCAGAGCGAAAGATTCTCCTTGCTTTTGGACGAAAGGGGTAGTTTGGGAGGGTATGTATGTTTTGGTTTCTTCCCTTAAGTTGGCATTCTCCTTTCTTAACGCCAACAACTCAAGGGCGTCTCTCTCTCTCTCACTCATCCTTTGTATCTCCTTCATTTCAGCCTTAAGCTGCCTTACTACTGAAAAAAGGCTTTCATCTCCTCTACCTTTAGCTAGAACTTTAGGGATCGACTAGTTAGGTGTAGCATCCTCTTGCTGACAAGAGACTCTTCCTTGCTAATTATGTCCTTTTCGCTGACTTCTGTAAGTAGCATGATTGTTCTGAAATCGAGACAAATCGTGCTCCACGGTGAGCGCCAAAATGTTCCTATTATGAATACACTGATCTTCTCGATACTCCTCCGATGATAAAGTCAGGTGTCGGTTTAGGTAATAAATGCTATTAAATATTCAAAAGTCAATCATTTACGTGTACCTCTTATTTTCCTTTTATAGACAATATTATGAACTAATGGGCTTTATGAATCAACCTTGATTTTGGCCTTTCAATTAAGTAAATAATGATATGATTATTTTACCTTAATTAGTTTAATTATTCTTTAATCTGATCGAGAGAATACTCGTCCTATTGATGCTGAAGAGGTATTCAGATTCCTTCTTTTATCATTGAGATTGAATGGTGTTCTATCTAGTACACAAATAAATATCAATTTTTTTTAAAAGTATATAAAATTATTCAAATTGTGAAAATTTTGATGTATATAACTATAAATATAAAATAAAAAAATTCATCAGTCAAATTAGTCAATATTATGTTATATACAAAATTATTAAAAATATAAGTATTAAATTTGACATTTAATGTTAATGAAAATTAATATATATATATATATATATATATATATATATAATATGATAATGAAAAATTCAAAATATTTAAATTATTTCATCTTTTATATATGATCTTAAAGATTTTTTTATATTGCCAGCAATATTAAAATTATATTTTAATATATCGAGATTGTGATAAAATATTTATAAAATATCATCAATTATGTCGGCAACGAGGAAGAGCAAAATATTTAATACAATTTTTTATTTTTATACTTTTGTCATAATTAAGTAAAACATATGGAAGCATCGCCACAAAATTTATGTAAAATGAAATAAAACAATAAGCATCTCGTATATACCTATTTGAAGATAATATGTTTTACAATTACTTAGAAAAGGAAATAGAAAATGGATTAATGTTGATACACAAGAATGAAACAATGAAGTCAAATAAAATTGCAAATATTCTAATAAGGGATGGTGTGAAATTAAAGGTTGGATAAGGTAGAAATAGCTTTTCTTAATCTTAAAATATATAGCAGATAACTTAGCAAAATCATGACAAAAGGGGCTAAATCACTATATGATTTGATCCTTGTTATCATACATTTCCGATAATTTAGCATGTGGTAGTCCAAGCTTAATATCAATATTGAATGTCTCGAGAAAGAACTTAATCTCAACTAGAGACGTTGTCAAGATTTAACATCATTCAGAGGCAAAATGAAAGGGAATATGAATATAAGAAACTATTGTGGTGAGTTTTTCATGATAGAGTAGTTAAAAGTGTGTGTGGCTGAGAAAAGTTTTGAAGGTGGGCACTACTCTCAATGACTAAAACTAAAAGGATTACCTCATTAGCCTTAGCCTAAGAAACCAAAAGGAGAATATACTCAGCCTCATGTGAATTTATAAGAGAGATGCATTAAATAAAGATGAGTCAATCATATCAAAGTCTAGTCATGAAAGAATTATGAAAATTTGTCTTGTTAATTTATTCAACAAAACAGCTGGAGGTCCTCTACTATTAGATAAGAAACAAATACACCAAATTAGCAAATCACACTAAACGTTTAAGAGTCTATAAATATTGTTTCGCTTGTAAAAATAATTGATAATTTTTACAAATTTTTTTAATTTATTGATGAGCGATGAAGCTTGACACAGTAATAGAGGTTGGTTTTATAGCCAAGCTTAATTGATCTGAACAAGTATAATATACTCCAACACAAACTACTTTTTCCTTATGAGGTTATAAAATGTGAAAATTGTTTTTTCCTTCATGGCCGAGTGGTTTCTGATCTTTCAAAATCCTAACCAAAGAGACTGTCAGATCATTTATTGATGTAGCATTTGGCGCACTCGTGTGTATATATATGTGTGATCATATATATATATATTCCACCCTTTTCCTCTATAGGATGATCCAAGGTGGGATATTCAACCATGAAAAGATGGTATTTTATTAAAAGAAAACTGTGTATATAAATAAAAGTAATGACCGATCGAAATTCTACTGCATGATCATGTGATACATAGACTTATTATATAGAAAAGCGTGAGAGAACTTGTCTTTAGTGTCTGTCACATATTATCTAGTATTTAACCAGAGTTATGTTATTTTATGTATATTTTAAATATATTATTTTATCACATTATTCATTTTATTTTATATTTATTCTCTTTTTATCTTTTTAAACTACAGAAATAATTATAAAAGAAATGATAAGAATAGAATTTTTCATTTGATAATTTTCCTTTCTAACTACTATCGTGTATGTTTTAGCTGTTTGCACAAGATCAATATCAATTACCACTATATTTTCTTCGTTCTCTTTTAATTGATATTTTAGCAACTTATTTTTGAAAAAAAAATTAATAATGCAAAAAATAAAATATGCAAATACACAGTGTGAAATTATTAGTTAACAATTTTCATGAAAACAAGAAAAACATTAATTCTATATTTTTAATTCTAAACAATGTTTATGAAGTATGTTACTAGAGAGATCCATAGATTAATAATATTTATGAAGTAACTGCACCTGTGAGATAAAACTTAATTGTTGTTAATTTTTAGTGCATCAAGATATCAGTAGAAAACTATTAATTTTAATAATCATTGAAATTTATCTCTCATTCAACAAAATAAATTTCATACATCAGGCCAAGAACGAATATTTTTGTCAAAATGCTCAAAGAATTAATTACTAGTTACCAACTGTTTTGGACTCTATCGGTGCCATAACCTTAGGGAGTCCCACATCAATAAATGAGGCTGCTACTTCAATAGCCGAAGCAAAAGCTAGCAAGAATATAAGTTTGTCTGATCTTAACATCAATAATGGATGAATCACGAGAAGAATGGCTTTCTGATTTGGTAACTTTGAGATTTGAATCAAGCACCACATATATGTGATAATATGCTTCACTTTGGTCCTTCTTAAAATTACTCTACTTTTGTTGTTCTCACTTGTTGCAGGAAATGGATGACTGCAATTTAATCGGTGACATGAACTCTCTTGTGGAAGTTTTCGAGGGAGAGAATTCAGTGCAGCAAGAACTATGGTGGAAAGGACACTACTCTGATGCAAATCTCATTAAAGAAAGCACCACCCTTAGAAGCGACATCCTCAAATCTTTAATGCCTAACCCTCTTGCTTTTGAGGATTACACTGCAGTGCCACATATTCCCAAGAAAACATGCCAATATCATGGTGAATATTCAAAGGAGACCCTTGAAGAACCAGAAAATAATAGAAAATCTAAGAGGGGTAGAAGCTCTTCTATTGTACAAGATCACATCACAACTGAGAGAAAGAGAAGAGAGAATATTACCAGAATGTTCATAGCACTTTCAGCCATTATTCCAGGGTTGAAAAAGGTCGGTATATATGTTTTTCTTTTCATATCAATACCATGGATCAGGACTTGGTTGTTAAATTATCTTCTTTGTATTAAAATCCAAATATAACTAAATAATTCAAATTCATAACTCTTGGTTTAGAGTTTATATACAAAGCTTCAAATCATAGATATTGAGCATAATTTTATTTCACACGATCCCTAAAAATATCCATTTACTATAGTTTAATCATTAGATTAACCTTTATTAATGTATAATTTGTCTATTAATAACAAAATTATTAATATATTATTATAGTTTTATGTTAACAGTATAATATATCAGACCAAAAAAACATTTTTTCTTAGTAAAAAAATTGATTTATGTTATCGATACTTTTATAATTTTTCATACTATTAGCATAAATTTATAATGTTTATATTAACAATTAAACAAAGCCTAATCCAAAACGGGGGTGAAATAAATAGCTAACTGTTAGTGTATGAAATTTTTTTCTTATAGTGATCTTTTGCCCTAACTCCGATTTAAAATTTATTCACTGAAAAGCAAACATAATATTAACATCATGCATTGTTAGGTTATATTATAAAATAATGAAAAATTTCTAATGTGTAGATGGACAGGGTTTCTATCCTTAAATATGCTTTCGACTATGTGAAATATCTCCAGAAGCGTGTAAAGGATTTAGAGGAACAAAACAAAAAGAGAAAGATAGAATCTGCGGTATGCTTCAAAATGAACAAGTCCAATGTTAGTACTGTTGCTGACGACTTTTCATGCAAACCTGATGGCTTAGATACTCCTATCAAAATATGTTGTCCTAAAGTTGAAGCAAGAGTCTTAGCAAAAGTTGTACTCATCAGAGTTATGTGTGAAAAACAAAAGAACATTGTTCCTAAACTACTGGCCAAGCTTGAAGCTCTTAATCTCTCCATTGTTTGTATCAATGTTTTGCCGTTTGGGAATTCCATGCTAAACATTACCAGCATTGCTCAGGTACACACCAACATGATATATGTTATATTGAAGAAAAACAGTAGTATATATTAGATTCTTTCCAACATTAATCAGCATGCTTATGAATTATATGAACATTGAATAATTAGTTACTGTGCTATATATTGTAGATGGGTCACGGTCAATTCAGCATGAGAATGGACGTCTTAATGAAAGTTTTGACTGAGGATTTGTTTGAGTGTTGTAACATGCAACAATAATAGGTTTTGCGTTCAGAAAGCTACTCCGAGGGCCATGTAGTTGGTCACCATAATAAGAGCTTAATTCAATGGTTTTGTGTTTCACTTTTTGTTTAATTTTGATCAGCAAAAAGGGATTTTATTAATATAGAATACAAGGGATACTCTTAATTCTTAGAGAGATCTCATTTGTCAATTTAAGTTATATAACAGGACTTTAAACATTGCAAACACACACATCATGAGAGAAACAAAAGAACCAAATAAGGAATTATGGACTCTTACAGTCCATAATGTATGTGTGAGACATTAAAACTTAAATCAATAATAAATCTTGACCTTTAGAGCTATAGATCATGAATGAAGCAAATGAGACGCAAATTTTGAAAAAGAATAAACCTTTGAAAGAATCCTATCAAACATCACAAGCCAAGCAAAAGATTAATACCTTAATTGGGGCACAACTTTGCCACAAAAATGTGAAGGTTATCAATGCTTTGATATACTTCCAACAAGAGGAATCTTCAGAAGACTTAGAGCTGTTAGAGCTAAACAAAACTTATGACATATTTTCATATTTTGCTGCATGGATGTTCACTCTCAGGGAATCTTTTTCAAAGAATTCTCGACCACCGTTTGCCCAATAGGGGTAAGTTGAAAAGATCCAAATCTCATTTAGTCCAATACCACCTTTTGTTTTGACTTGTACACATCTTTTTATTTCACTGAACCGATCCTTTTATTCTTGTTCTATCCTCCTCAAAGAAAATTTCTCTAGATTCCTACGAGAGTTTGAAGCATTTTTCTTATTGTTTACTTTTAATTTTGTGTTTTCACTTCATGTTTGTGTAATATTTCTGTTAAATAGAGTTTTTGGTGTTTTTTAATCATACATGCATGCTTTCTCATTGATTACATATGTTTTAAAATTCTTAAACCATCCAAAATTTATATACATAAAAACGGTTTTCATTTTGTGAGTTAAAGAGATTTATCAACTTCGATTCACTAGCCTATTCATTTTTTCTTTTAATAAAATAAATAATATTTTACATTAATAAAAAAATCCACTTTTGATGATGGCAAAGTAAAAAATTTGTTAATTATTTAAATGAAAATCGATATGCATTGAGATCCTTATATTAGTGGATATGCGTTTGAATTTGATGAACTTTTACTAAAAACAGCTTTTTAACGTAAGTTTCAAATAATTTCTGTAACATTTTGTTTTGAAACTCTTCATAACAAAAATAATAGATTTACATTATAATTTGATTATCATCTGTGATGTGATGAAAAAGTAACTTTCTTTTTCACCAAATCTCCTGCTATGTGCGTTCTCCTAAATGTAAACTTCAGATGTTATTTTTGCTATTAACGCCTTAGTTTTTCGGGTACAACACTTGTATTATTAAATTATAACTATTTCTTAAACATTTTATTATATTAAATAGAACTAAATTACTTTTTCTAGAATTTATAAAAAATTATAAAATATAAAATTAACTGAAAAAAAATTAAAACTTCAATATAAAAGAAACCATATGATGTAATAAAAAACACAACTCTTTAAAATATTTTCATAAGATTAGTAAAAAAAATTTATTTTCATAAGACAGTTTCTAAAAAATATTTCAATGTAAAAATAATGATATATATAGACTAGAGATAATTTAGAACTGGGCTTTTCTGGCCCGATGTTCCCTTTTAGTGTATTAGTGTAGGTTCAAGAAAAATGTTATTGGGATTAGTCTAATATATATATATATATATATATATATATATATTACATCAGCGTAAGTTTAAAAAATTTTATTCTCATTCTAAGTTTTTTATTTAATTTAAATTTAACAAGTTATAATTTATTACTTTACTGATCATTAAATTTAAATTAAATAAAAAGTTTAAATTAAATATAAGAGTTTTTATATTTATATTGGTGTAAGATCTTTTATTTATATATATATATATATATATATATATATATATATTTTGTTAAAGAAGATTAGAATTGGTACCTAAAATAATAGAAAACATAAGCCTCAAGCATAATAATAATTACTTTTATTATTATTATTTTTTTTTATATGTCATATGAATGTTGTGTGGCTGAAATTTTTTGGTAGTGGTCGTTTCTTTAATTTTTACTTGTAAAATTTAATTAAAATGTCATTAAAAAGTATATATAAAATTATTTTTAATTTTAAAAAAAATTGCGCAATACGTTGCATTATTGATATACATCTTAGATTGATATCAAATGATGTGCAATCGTACGAGCTTATGCATATTTTTTTAAAAAAAAAACCTATGTTATGCTAATTCTTTTCTCTTTTAAAAAAATTTGTTTTATTTTATTCGATAACATTTTTATAGAAATATATTTTAAGCAACAACATTGTGTAATTTTACATTGTCCTTTTGTTTTCAGTTGTTATGATCGGGCACATATAATGCTATTTTGTACTATATGCAAATTACAAATTCTCTCTTGCAATCATTTTTTTTAAATGTTGAATTATTCGATAAATTTATATCATTATATATATATATATATATATATATATAATTTTGTTATTATATATTATGTTGTGAAATGTGAATTTTTTATTCTTTCATTATAAATTAGTATTTCTCTTTCACAAATCAAATCATTTTTAACCTTTTTTTTAAGGAATTTATTTTTAATTAAAACAACAAAAACTAAAATCATCCTCTTAAGTTTGCTTTTCTTAACTATATAACTTGGTGTGCGTTTAAAAATACTATAAATATGAATTCAATACAAAAATTATAACTAATAGTGTTAAAGCAATTGTGAATTCATAGACTTTTCAAATACGAATCTAAACATGCTATTTGATTTTTCTTTACACTTAGAGACATAAAAGGAGAACTTAACTTGTTGAGCTAAAATATGCATATATCAAGTTGGGTTGAGTACTTAAAGTACACAGATCTGTACTCAAACCCCAACTCATGCTAATTTTAAAATGAAAAATGCAAGTTAAACTATAAATAAAATTATAAAAAAATAAATGTAAACAATTAAAATAAAAAAATCACATGCGAATAAAATGTAATTAATTATTTAATTAAAAGGTAAAACAATGAATTGTGTCCGAGGAATATAAAAGATCTATGTAGGATTATAATACAAAGGTGGACATGTACAAAATCTGCAGTGCTATTCTCTAAAGATTTGTAGTGGGTTAGAATATATGGTAAGGTTTATTTATATATAAAATATTTGTGATTAATAAAGTAATCTTAACGAAACAGTGCGTAAAAAGTTAGTGTTACTTCATCCTATGCTTAAAAGTAATTGATGCATGGGATTACCAAACCAAAGGCAGCTAAATGCACTCTTCAATGCATTTTTTAATTGCTCATTGCAATTGGAAAACAATAACTATTTTAAACATGTTTGATTCACTTTCATGCATGTAACCTTAAAATATATGAGATTTTTAGATTTATATATTGAATTTTATCGTTCCCAAAGTTTTTAATCCCAAAACTTTTAGTATACACGAGTGAAAGAAGTTTAACAATTCAGGCCAAAGGAGAGAATCATTTAAGTTTTTTTTTCTTTTAAGACTAGAGGTATCCTTTAACATTTTGTAGTATATATTGAATTTTATTACTTAAATATAAAATTAACAACAATATAATATTATATATAGTTTTTTTAATTTTTTTCATTACTTGTTTCTCAAAAATATGTTATAAAATTAAAATATATTTTTATTTCAATTTTATTTTCAATATTTTTTGTTTGTTAATTTAAAAAACAGTTTAAAATAGAAACTAAAATAATCAAATTAAGTACTTACTATACATTTTGAATATACATATATGTATATATATGTGTGAACAAATAAAAAAAATTACTCAACTTAGTTCAAGTTTTGATCTTTGTCGAGTTGAGTGAAAAATAAATAAATATTCTTGTTTAGAAATAGAAGTTCAAACTACTTGTATTTTACATTTAAATAAGTTAAATTAATTCAAATTTAATAAAAATAATTTTGAATCATCAAACTAAAAAAAACTTAAATTTTATTTAAATCTAAAATTTAAAACTCAAACATTATAATTTAATAAATTTAAAAGTATATCTGATATTCAAGTAGCTCATTTTGCTAATTTCATATTAACTAATTTTATAATATATTAATAATACAAATCATATTTTATTTTTTATAAATATATTTATTATATAATTTTGTTTTAATATATTTTTGTATATATTAAATATTTTTTATATTAAGTTAATTTTTATTATATTCAAATATGATATTTTACACATTGAAAATAAAATTATTTAATTTTTATCGATAATATTGTTTATAGGAATAGTCTATAGTTGGACCACTGATTTAGGCTAATTTTCATAACCATGATATATAGATAGGGATGAAAATAGGTAAGACCGTTTGATAAGGGCCTATGCTTAGCTATTTTAAAGCTTAGTCCAACCTAACATATTTAATCAATAAATTTAATTTAGGCTTTTTAAAAAGCTTGAATAATTAAATAGGTCAGGCTTAGACTTAAAAAAAAGCTTATTAGGTCTATTAGAATGACCTATTTAAAATTTTAAAATTTATAATAATATATTAAATAATTTTATATAAAAAATATAATATAATATTATATTAAATTGATTAAATTTTAAAATAATAAAAATTTTAATTAAAAATCCTAATCTTTTTCTTCAGAATTAAAAATTGTCTTCACTGCATACCCTCTAAAAGAGAGAGCTTTGCTTGTTGGAGTTTTTTTTCATATCATGTATAAAAAAATATTGTTATTTGTGCATTTTAGATTTTTGTTTGTTACATTTATTAATTTTAGGTCTAAAACTTATTTAGTTATATTATATTTGTTGATTTAGTGTGTAAGACTTTATTCTACTAGATTTGCTTAATGATTTATAAATTAATGTTCATTTTATTATATTTTTTGTATGTACAGTGATTTACTTATTTAAATTAAATATGTGATTTGAAAGTGAT